TTTCCTTGAGCTGCTGTGAGCTCCACCCAGTTTGAGCTTCCCCAGCTGCTTGTTTACCTACTTAAGCCTCAACACCGGTGAGCCTCTCCCCAGTCCCTGCTGCTGCCTTGCTGTTAGATCTCAGACTGCTGTGCTAGCAATGAGGGAGGCTCCATGGGCGTGGGACCCTCCCTGCCAGGTGTGGGATATAATCTCCTGGTGTGCCTGTCATTAAAGCGCAGTATTGGGGTGGAGTTACCTGATTTTCCAGGTGTTGTGGTGGTTCCAGTCCTGGCTAGAGAAGGATTCCCTTTCCTTGCGCTTTCCCAGGTGAGGCGTTGTTCGCTCTGCTTCAGCTCGCTGCTGGGCTGCTGCAGCTGACCAGCACCGATTGTCCGGCACTTTGAAGAGATGAACTCTGTAGTACCTCAGTTGAAAATGCAGAAATCACTGGTCTTCTGTGTTGTCGGCATGCTGGGAGTTGGAGACTGAGCTGTTCTCAGACTCGGCCATCTTGCTCACAATCAGAATATGTTTCAGGATCCTTACAAAGATGTGTTCATTTTCAATTTTTATTTTTATTTTTTTTAGTTTACTATTTTGTATGGAGACAGGATCTCACTATGTCACCCAGGCTGGTCTTGAACTCCTGGCCAGAAGTGATCCTCCTGCGTTGGCCTCCCAAAGCGTTGGGATTACGGGTATGAGTTACCATGTCTGACCTTAATAATTTTTAAGTAAGGCAGAATGACACTCTCCTCTAAGGATTTACATACAAGTTGTTCACAAAAGTGTGGTTTACTTTTAAGAATAAATTTGAAATAACTGTAATAATCCAAAATATAGAAGCAATATCAAAATTATAATGTGTCCTTATAAAATGATATTCTGCAACCATAAAAATTCTGCCTTGGAATACTAAAGAATACATTTTAAACCATCAAAGTATAATAAATAAAAATAAATAATAGCACTATATATTATATATTTTATTTTCTAAAACAAATTTTAAAAGGTCCGTGAAAATTTTAATTATTAGTTTTAAGTTGGTGGGACCATAAAAATTTGCATTTTATATATTTATGTGGTAAACATGTTTCCTAGAAATTATTGTGATGCAAAAACTTTAAAAATGTTTACTATTTTAGTGGATTCTCATTTGAAATCAGTCAGAAGTACATATTGACTTTCAGAGGCCAGATCATAATCACAATTTATAACTAAAACTGTTAGGTAAAAGTATTTTCATTAATAATATAAATATATGTGAACTGAATGTAAATAATTATATACAAGAAATTATTGTCATAAAATGTAATTATGCTGATACTATTATACAAAGTAGAATAATAAACAGCATTTTATTAATGCATATTCAAAAATATTACTTAATGTATAAAAAACAATCTAGAACACAGACAATACCAAATGCTAACCAAGATGTGGAGCAACAAGAACTGTAACTTATTGCTGGTTGGAAAGCAAAAGCGTACAGCCATTTTGAAAGCCAGTTTCATAGTACTTTTTTGTAAAACTAAATATTCTCTTGTCATATGATTCATCAGTGGTGCTCCTTGGTATTCACCTAAAATAATTGAGAATTTATGTCCATACAAAAACGTTCACATAGATGATTGTAGCAGGTGTATTCATAATTGCCAAAACTTGTAATCAACTAAGATTTCTTTCATAAATGAATAGATAAATAAACAGTAGCACATCAAGAAAGTAGAATACAATTTAGCATTACAAAGAAATTCAATTTCAAGCAATGAAAAGAAATATAGAAAACTTAATGCATATTACCAAGCCTCCCAAAAATCTCAATCTGAACAAGGTGCTTATGGTTTGAATCCAACTATGTGATATCTATATGCAAAAGGCAAAACTATGAAGATAGTAAAAATAGTAGTGTTTGCCAGGGTTTGGGTAGGGAGGTATGAATTGATGGAGCAGAGGATTTTTAGAGCAAGGCAATGAAACTACTCCTAATGACGCTATAATGGTTGATACAAATAATTAAACATTTGTCCAAATCCATGGAATGTACAGAATCAAGAGTGAAGCATAATGTAAACTATAGACTTTGGGCAATAATTATGTGTCAACGTAAGTTCATTGATTCTAACAAATATATCACTCAGGTGGGGAATACTGATAATAAAAAAGAATATACACATTTGGCATAGGGGTATATGGAAAATATCTGTACATTCTGCTCAACTTTACTGTGAAACTAAACTACTCTAAAAATAAAGTATGTTTAAAAATATTGAACAACCATGGAGGAAAAAAAAATGTAACTTTTCTAAAATGCATCATTTCAAAGAGCATCTAAAATTATTCAAAAAGTATCAAAGATATATTTAAATCAGAGAGAAAACGTACAATGCATGTGGTTTTACTAAGATAAGACATTCTAGCCTTGTGTGAAATATTTGTATAATGCAATCTGACTTTCCTGGGGCAAGTCATTACCTCTACACTATTTTATTCCCTAAAGTAAGTATTTTTCCTATTTGATTAGATTTTAAAGAAAATAATCAACAGTGAATTGATTTGACTGCAGGTAGAACCATTGTCTGTCATAAACTACCTATCCAATAAATAATTATTACATAAACGAATATATTAATTAATGCCACTATCAAATATTTACCAAAATTTCCAATATTACTAAAAATTAAAAATTTTCACCATCTAAATAAGGCTATATAATATGCAATCACAATATAAAAATGTGCATATATAATTTTTTGAAAGTTTAATACATTTTACCTCCACTGATCATTACACATTTTATAGTGTAGAATTATGTAAGCAGAAGGAGATAGTAGACAATTTAACCACAGGCTAAAGGGCCAGAAGACAGAAGGAACCATTAGTCTATAGGAACAGAGCAGCATTTTGGTCATTAAAGACCATGCACTTGTGAAAGTTCACAGCCTCCCAGCAGTGAAGAATATAAGACTTTGGAAGACAGGGAGTGGGTTCTATTGCACTCTGCACTTGTAGCTTCTATGTCACTGACCAATACAGAGTAAATAGGAAACAAAGTTTTGTTAAACTGAATAGGTGACTTTGAACAATTACCTCATTTTAGAAAGCAAATGAACCATACAATATGAATCACCCAAGCATAGCCAATCACCCATAACCATTTTAGGTGAATAGCACTTAAACTCAATTTCTTCATAGCCTTCTTTCAAAATTGAATGTAAACATTTCTTATTCTTCCTACCTCTTTAACTTGAAATATATGGATTTAGAGAAGCTTTGCTGACAAGATAATAACAGAATAATTTTCAATTTAAATGACTGTAACCAGAATGTACTTACATTTATTTCAGCATTAATTTTAAAGAGCAGAAGAAAATATGGATCAGTGATTTTGTGATTTTGTATATACTTTTAATAAAGGGAAAATATAATGTATTTTTTAAACATTACTAATGATCAATTCATTAGATACATTGGTATATCAAACAGACAAAAATATATTTATATAGGACTGTAAATCCACACTAATATATAATTTTTTTTTAATTGTGAATTGGGCCTTGGTCACAGTTACATTATGAAGAACACTTGCTCTTGAACAAAACTACCATTTATTTCTCCAACTCAGTTAAACAGTCCTAGGAGCTAGTTGAACCTCAGATGACTGAATTGTCTACAGTGTTTATGGCTGGCTAATGTGAGCATTAAATACTACTAGGTGCATATTATTTTTTATTGGTAGAAACTTTATTTTTATTAGAAGTTAAAGACATGTGAAATTCAACTGTAAATGTAACATTCAACTCCTGTCCTTACCTAGACAAAGTGTATTAATCAAGGAAAAGGTTTTATGTAGACAATGGATATATATAATATGTTCTTAAGCATGGATTTGTTAATATTGAAAACAATAGTCGTGTGTAATTTATTGTATCTCCAGTCATCAAAATTTGATTAAATGGTAAACCAACTGAAACCAAATGAAGGAGCAAAGGATTCCTAAAGTTTTTTCAGCTGTTTGCTCTTTAATCAGGATTATTATTATTTTCTGTTTGTATCAGCTACATATTCTTTCCTTTCTGTGTCAGCTCTATCCTCCAGTGGTTTCCCTCAAAGAATTGAGTGATTTTAGAAGACTCAGACTTTAAGTTACAAATTATATCCTGAAGAAAGAAATCTCTGTTTTAATGTTCTAAGTCAATGTTCTAAAATTCAACTGCATTAAACCAAATCTGAATCATTTTCTGTGGTCAGGCAAATGTCACCACACACCACTTGTTTTCTGCCTGGGTTACAAGAAACAATCAATGGTGGCAGAAGGCATAGGATAATCCCGAATGTCTTGAAGCTGAGGGACTAGGCATGCAAGTTCAACTATGCTGCACAATCAGTGGAGAGTGGAAATGTTACAGAGAAACCCCAATATCTGCTACAGCATTCCTAAGCAACAGAGATAAGATAATAATGGAGAGTTCAGTGTGGGATGAGTGCATTTGTGTGTGTGTGTGTGTCAATATATATGCAATCACTTAAACAGAAACATTATAAAGCAAGCCTCATTAAGGAACATTGCAGAGTAACTTTTCTTACAGTTTATGAAGTAATAACATTCTTTGTGTTTAGATCTATATCCTTGTCATGACTGTACCCCAACTAATAAAATCTGAAGATAATAAAGATCTATTAGTTGGTAGCAGGGCTACTTTTTTTGCAGAAAGGATGTTTTAAGGTACCAGTAAGGATCATTTTTTCCATGCTTTTTCTAATGCTAACTTTGAGTGTTATTGTAAAGTAAGAATTTCAAAACATTTTGTGTTTAAGGGTGGTATTTTAATACCATTATAATGAAATTACTGTCTCTGACTTGCTCTGTGAAAATTCAGGTGAAAGTCATGAGAGAAAAAACACAATATAAATATTACTTAATCAATTCTAGTGGTTCATAATGTATTTTATTTAATTTACCTTCTATGCAATTTGTTTTTATTTATCTTCAATATTACCTTTCATTGAGAAGCTATGCAACACAAGAGTAATATTCTATAATCTTAGTCTCATTATGTTTTTATAGAAAAGTCACAAAATAATTTATCCCAAAGAAAAGACCCTTAGTAGTAAATCCTACACAAGGAAAAGCACAATTCTTAGGACTGAAGTTGACATAAATAATGACGAGCAGGCTGAGCATGGTGGCTCATGCCTGTAATCCCAGCACTTTAGGATGCCAAGGTAGATGGATCCCTTGAGCTCAGGAATTTGAGACCAGCATGGGCAACACGAAGAAACACCATTTCTACAATAATAAAGAAACAAAAATTAACTGGGCTTAGTGGTGAATGCCTGTGGTCCCAGCTACTCAAGAGACTGAGGTGGGAGGTTCCCTTGAGTCCAAGAGAGGTCAAAGCTGCAGTGAGCCCTGATGGAGCCACAGAACTCCAGCCTGGGTAACAGTGAAACTTTGTCTCAAAAAATAAAAAAATAAAAAAAAAAAAGATAAGCAATTGGCAATTGTATGTTTAGTTAAATACCAAGTTATTTGAGTAAGCTGGTTTTGTAATTCAAACTATTTAACTTTATAACTAAAAAAATCAAATGATTGTGAGGATATATCAGTTACTCTCTCTTTCACTTTTATTGAGAATTATAGTCAATAAACTGACTAGTGGATTACTAATGAAATTATCAATTTAGATGAGTGAGTATATTATTTAACATGGTGACAAAATTTATACATTTGAATAATAATAAATTAAATAGTTTATTGGCTCATACATTTGGTTCTTCACATGATTTACTAAATTTATATGTTACCCCTTTTAATATTACCTTCAGATTACTCATAATACCTATGACAATGTAAATACTAGGTAAATAGTTGCTATCTTTATTCTTTCATTTGCATTCTATTTTATTGTTTTTTTTCTCCCCTAAGTTTTGATGTGCTGTTGGTTGAACTTGTGAATGCAGAAGCCATAAATATAAAATCCTGAATACCCTATGAAAAAACTCCTAGATTTGATAAGGTAAGTTTAAGGATTCAAAATAAACATAAAAAAAGCAGTAGTGTTTCTGTACACCAATAACAGTCCAGATGAAAACTAAATCAAGAAGGCAATCCCATTTACAATAGCTACAAAAAATATTTAGGAATATATTTAACATAGGAGGTGAAACATCTCTATAATAAAAACTACAAAACTGCTGAAATAAACTGTAGATGACACAAACAAATGGAAAAACATCCCATCCTCCTAGAGGAATTAATAATATTAAAATGACTATTCCAATCTACAGATTCAATGCAATTTCTATGAAAATATGTCATTTTCCACACAATTAGAAAAGAAAAAACTATTCTAAAATTCATATGGAACCATAAAAACGCCCAAGAGCCAGAGCAATCAAAATTAAAAAACAAAGCTGGAGGCATTCCACTGCCAAAAAACAAAGTTGGAACCTTCCCACTACCAGATTTATCAAATTAATAGTATCCAAAACAGCATGGTACTCCTATTAGACACACATCTCAATGGAATAGAATACAGAATTCAAAAATAAAGCCACATATTTACAGCCTTCGGATCTTGACCAAATTGACAAGAACATTTACCAGGGAAAAGATAACCTTTTCAACAAATGGTGCTAGTAAAACTGGGTTGCAATATGCAGAATACAACTGGACTCCTATGTCTCACCATCTATGAAAAATCAACTCAGGATGGATTAAGTTCAATGTAATCAAACTATAAAAATACTAGAAGAAAAACCAAATAAATTTCTTTTGGACACCTAGGCAAAGAACTTATGATTAGGACCACAATAGTACAGGCAGCAAAAACAAAAATAGACAAATGAGATTTAATAAAACTAAAAAGCTTCTGCACAGCAAAAGAAATAATCAACATGGTGAATAGAGTGCTTTTAGAATGGAAGAAAATATGTGCAAACTATGCATCTGATAAGGGACTAATATCCAGAATTTACAAGAACTCAAACAACTCAACAACAAGCACAAACAAATAATACTATTTTTAAAATGGGCAAAGGTCATGAATACACATTTTTCAAAAGAAGATATACAAATGATCAACAGGTATATGAAAAAGTTCTCAACGTCACTAATCATCAGAGAAATGCAAATTAAAACCACATTGAGATATAATCTTACACAAGTCAGAATAGCTCTTATTAGAAAAACAAAAATAACATGTTTGCAAGGATGTGAAGAAAAGAGAATGCTTATACACTGTTGGTGTGAATGTAAATTAGTAAAACCTCTATAAAAAATGTAAAGATTTCTCAAAGAATTAAAAATACAAGTACCATTTCATCTAGTGGTCCTATGACTGAGTGTCTACACAAAGGAAAAGAAAACATAGCAAATAGATAACTGTACCATTGTGTTTATTGCTGTACTATTTACAATAACAAAGATATGGAATCAACCTAGGTGTTCATCAATGGATAATAGGTTAAAGAAAAGGTGGTATATATACACAATGGTATACTATTCAGCCATAAAAAGAATGAAATCACATATTTTGCAGCAACATGAATAGAACTGTAGACCATCACATTAAACAAGTCAAACAAAGAAAGTTGCATACTTCATGTTCTTACTTTTAAGTGAGAACTAAATAATGCTTACATGTGGCTGTAGATTGTGGAATGCTAGACAACGGGGACTCAGGGGAATGAGGGTGTGAGAGTGGAGCATGATAAGACATTACTAAATGGATTCAATGTACAGTATTAGGGTTATATGTATACCTTAAAAGCCTAACCTCGCCACTTCACAATCTATGCATGTAACAAAATTACACTTAAACCCCATATATTTAAAGAAATGAACTAAACACTCCAACTAAAACACAGAGAGTAGTAAAATGAATTTTAAAATGCAATATAGTTCAACTATATTCTATCCATAAGAGGCGTACATTAGATTCATAATCTCAAATAGTTGCCTTTAAGATTTTCTCTTAAGCATTGACTTTGGACAGTCTGGTGGCTATGTGCCTTGGTTGTGTCTGTTTCATATAGTATCTCTCAAGTGTTCTCTGGATTTCTTATATCTGCATGTCTACCTCTCTAACAAGATTAGAAAAAATTTTCTTCAATTATTCCCTCAAGTATGTTTTCCAGGTTGTTTGCTTTTACTCCTTTTCTCTCAGGAATTCCAGTAATTCATAGGTCTGGTCACTTTGCATAATTCCATATTTCTTAGAGACTGTTTATTTTTAAAAATTCTTCTTAATTTATTCTGTCTGACTGGATTGGTTCAAAACACTGATCTTCACATAGAGGGAAAAACACACACCAGGGCCTTTTTGGAGGGTGGAACATGAAAGGAGGGAGAGGATCAAGTAAAACAACTAATGAGTACTAGGCTTAAAACTAGTGTGATAAAATAATCTCTACAGCAAACCCTCATGACCCAAGTTTACCTATGTAACAAATGTGTACCTATGCCTCCGGACTTAAAATAAAAGTTAAAAAAAAATATTTGGTATTCAAGCTTTGAAATTATTTCTTCTGCTTGGTCCTGTCTATTGATAAAGATCTTAATTGTATTTTGAGATTCCTTATATGAGTTTTTCAATTTTAGAAGCTCTGCTTAATTTCGTTTTAAGATGCTTATCTTTTCTTTCATTTTCTAGGTTACTTTACAGGTTCCCTTGTGTTGATTTTCAACATTATCTTGAATCTTGTTGAGCTTCCTTGCTGTCCATGCTTTAAATTATTTGTCATTTCTGAGTTTCCATTTTAGCTAGAGGTCATTGCTGGAGATCTAATGTGATCCTTTGGTAGTGTCAGTACAGTTAGATTTTTCACGGTGCCAGAATTTTTGTGCTGGTTCCTTGTCATGTAGAGACACTGATACTTGTATTTTTTGTAATTATTTTCATGCAGGTAGTTTTTTTGTTCTTTCTTTCTCTATAATATTATTGCTTTCTTTCTTTCCCTTTTCCCCTTCCCCAGGGAGTGTGACTGTAGGGATTGCTGGGTACAGCGTTTTGGCAATTCTGGTAGGTTTTATACTGGGTTGTGCAGTGTGACTACAAGGCAGAAGATGATGCTTATAGGTAATAACTGGGAGCAGGCAATATAGCCAGGTATAAATTTGATCCTTATTTACAGGCATACGTTCTCTGCTGGCTCAGCCCTGTAATACACAGCCAGAAAAAAAGAATGAAATCAATCATACCCTTTGCAGCAACATGGATGCAGCTAGAGGCCATTATCCTAAGAGAATTAATGCAGGAACAGAAAATCAAATGCAATATGTTCCCACTTATAAGTGGGAATTAAACACTACATATTCATGGACATAAAGGTGGCAATGATAGAAACTTGGGACAACTGGTAGGCAGAGGTAGAGATGGGGGCAGTCATTAAAAAACTATTGGGTGTTATGCACAGTACTTGGGTGATGGGATAATTTGTACCACAGACTTCATAATCATGAAATACACCCAGGTAAGAAAGCTGCACATGTACCCCTTCAATCTAAAATAAAATTTTAAAATATCTCAAATAGTTTAAAAACAAAAGAATGGAAAAAGATATACCATGTAAATATGACCCACATAGAGCTACAGTGGCTATAACAGTTTTCAGTATTTTAAGACAAAAACTATTAATATAGACTGAAAATTGTAATGATAAAAGGGTAAATATATCAAGAGGTGTATCAATTATAAACCTATGTGCATCTAACAGAGATCCAAAACACAGAAAGCAAAATTGACATTATTGACGGGATTATCATATATTTCAATAATAATAATTGGATATTTGAAAGCTCACCTTGAAATAATAGCTAGAATAGGACAGCATATCAATACTTAAATAGAAGATTTAAAAAACATGATAAACTACTTAGACCTAAGAGATATCTATAGAACATGTCAAACAAACACAGCAGAATATACATCCTTCTCTAATAAATACGAAACATTCTACAGGACAGAACAAAATCCTCCATAAATGTTAAGAATTGATTGCATCAAACTAAAAAGTTTCTTCAAAGTGAACAATGAACAAAGCAAACAGACAACCCGGAGATTAAGGAAACATAATAGCAAACCATATATCTCTGATAAGGGACAAAATTCTAAAATATGTAAGGAACTAAATAATTTAAGAGCAAGAAAACAAATGTCCTGATTATAAAATTGGCAAAGAACCTGGCCAGACATTTCTCAAGAGAAGACATATGAATGGTCAACAGATACGTTAAAAAATGTTCAACATCTCTAATCATCAAGTAAATGCAATTAAAAATCACTA